GCGGCGATCGGCGGCGGTTTTGAAGCACAGCGACACTAACCTTGCTCTGATACCACTGTTGAGAATCTGAGATGTCGTTTTTGGCTCAGAAACCTGCTTCGACCAGCGGCGATCGGCGGCGGGTTTGAAGCACAGCGACACTAACCTTGCTCTGATACCACTGTTGAGAATCTGAGATGTCGTTTTTGGCTCAGAAACCTGCTTGAGTCAGTCACTGTTTTCCTCTCTAGTGCACCACCAAAGACCAACTGGGAGCTCGCCGATCTCCTTCCCCAGTCACTCACAAAGGGGATCGCACAAAGGGGTTGAGAGCACAAAGCTCACAGGAGCACAAAGTCGCAGAAAGGGGGAGATCGCACACAGCAGAGGGAAGTTCAAGCTCAGATCTTCACCTCACCACCTCTACTTCCTCTTCATCCCTCTCCCAAGCTACTACCAACCCATTACCCATATATAGGGATGGGGGCAGCCGACAAGGGAGAGGAGCTAGGGAAGAAAACGAAGGAGGGAGCCGACCTAGGGATGAAATCACAGCGGCGGCCATCAAATCCAGAGATCGCGAAGACTTCTAGAGATCGCGAAGACTTAGGAGGAGGTGAGAACCATCGGGTAGGTGAGGGAAAATAGAGGGGCTAGGGCACAAGTGGGGGAGCTGGGCATTTAGTGGAATGGGCCAACTTATTGGGCCAACAAAACAACCAACACCAATAAATGGCCATCATCATTCCTAAACTGCTGCTGTTGTCTTCCATTTCACCAAGGACTTGAGGAATCCTTTAACCTGTATCATACCAATCATTAATCCGCATCACAGCGACTTTAATACCAAACACAAGGATTAAAGAGAGAAAGAAAGAAATTACCTCAGATGGGTCTCTAAGAGAGTAGGAGGCATTACTTTCTTTTGGTACAGACGATACTAAAATGCCATAGCCACAATTACCCTCTCTAAGAACCTGCTTGGGCCAGTAGGTAAACTAGTAAGGGGTTATGACCGCCCAAGAAATGAAAATCTTAAACAAAATAAATTACAGAACACGATCATTTTAGGGTAAATTTCACTAAACCCCAATAAGTTTGGGCCTCTGATACTTGACCACATAAAAGTTTGAAACTCTCAATGAACCCACACTTATTTGCAGTTCAGTGAGAGTTTCAAACATTTTGGGTGTTTAGTAAAAAGTAACCATCATTTTAACATATTACTCTGCTCTAGCTTTAATAATACCTTGAATGCATCCTCATCAGTTATGTCATCTCCAACATATATAGGGAGCACATCATCGCGATTATTCAGTCCAAGTGATTCAAGCAAAAACTCAACGGCCTTTCCTTTGTTCCAATCAATCACAGGCCGGATCTCTAAAACCTGCAGCCAACAAGGAAGTGTATAAAATGAATATATATGGTTCTGCCTTCACAAAGAAAACACGGTACAATCTGCCTAATCAATTGCCTCTTATTACCTTCCGACCATGTGTCAGTTTCAACTTTGGGTAGCCCTTTAGGATATCATGAACAATTTCTGCAATCATTGGCCAAAGCTGGGAGACACAAATGTAAGTTATGGAAGCTGCACAGTCAGGCTCGGAAGTTGTTACTGCTAAACAGGCACTATGGATTTCAATTTCAACATTATAAAAGTCACAAGCCTTTTAAGTGTACCTCTTCATCTACTAGGCGGTAATGTACGGAGACACAAAACTTGTTGTTCTCTACTGTTGCACCTTCAATATCGTTAGTGTTCTCGACAAGGGATCTAAAAACCTATTGATGAACCAAAGACTCTATTTTAATAACTGACAGAGGAGAGTATGGCCTGAAATCAGACAATATGAAAAAGTTTATACCTCATCGATCATTGGCAAAAATTCACTTGCAGGCTGGAATGGAATTACCTCCTTGCCGTGTAGAGTAAAATAAGAAACAGATGTAAGGAAAATGATGATATAATCAAATTTAGCAGCCTCAGTTATAGCCACCACTAGGTAATTATCCTAAAGAAAAACTATAGTAGGTAATCAGTATACAGTTGACCATGAATCTTGCTTCAACTATCATATGTTGATCATAGTTCGATAATTCAGATCTTTCTTTAAAATGTACAAGAGAGATAGGCTATTTTAAGACCAGATTTTTTACTCAGTATAGAAGGACTTGTGGCTTTCAGTTTATAGGGAAGAACAGAAGTCTGTAGTTTGTAATAATGACCAAGGATGCTAAAGTGAAAACAATGCAGCTTACCTGCTTGTCAGTAGATCTAATAGAGTTTGGATGGTCAGTAGTGGATTCCAATTCTCGTAATGGAACCATTATGTCCATTCCATGACTACCGGCATAATGGAGTTCTGTTAGTCCTACAAATTCACAGACCTGAAAAGAATGTGGATAGAAGATTATAAGAGCAATTTAACCAATAAATAAGAGGTAGGCAAGCCAAAGTACTAAGGAATCAATCACCAAATAGAGTCAGTACCTTATCACGTGATCTTCCACTGATAATAGCCGTTGGAAAATGTTTTGCAACATTTCTCACAGCAGTCCGCATCTGAAAAATAATTGTTAACATGAGTTGTGGATGATAACTCTTTATTACATTAGTAGCAAGGATTGGAAACAAAAGTGAGAAGAAAGATGTTTTTTCTCATACCGCACTGGACATAAAAGCATGGTCAGGGTTGTCCACAATAGGAGAAAGTGTTCCATCATAATCCAGAAACAATGCTATCTTCTTGTACTTCGCATAATTTGTGATTTGTTCAAATGATGTTAGCGCAGATGGATACTTCATCTACATTAAATATGTAGTTCAATAAAGTTAAGTTGGTCTCAGCTCCTATGCTAGAAATGGCTTCAAATGTATCACTACACATATACATTTTGAGGAATATTATTACACATAAAATTTTTAAGGCATTAGCAGCTTTCATGCTCCAAAGGTAGGTTCTTACCACCCAGGTATGGTATGAGGTCTCTGCTTCTTCTGATTCAGGCTCAAAGCCGAATTCCTTGTTCAGCTTCTTTTGAGGAGGTGATGAGGCACTTACACGAACATCGTCAAGTTTGCTGGGAGCAGGCTTTCTTCTAGGAGTTGTTAAATACATGCCAGGAGAAGAATATCCTGTGGTTGATGCTGAATAAGGCACCGAACTAGAGGATAAACCCAGTCTTGACTTGTTCATGGGGACAGAATCAGCGAGAACAGGGGACTTGTGGGTTGATTTTAAATCCATTGGTTCCGTATCCGTTAGAGCGTCAAGTCAAAAATCGAATAATATAGTATTTTCTTACTTCCCAGATTAAATAAATTTCAATGTGATTTTTTAAGGCCTTGGATATCTACCCAACTCTTTTGTCAATGAAGAACCACCGCTTCAATGTTTTTTTGTCACTGCAGTGGTGCATGCAGTCCATTAATCGCAGACTTCCTGAGGACTGATAGCAAATGATAGCTAGATGAGGCATATGAGGAAAAGAATATAAAACCTACATAAGATAAAAGATCAATTTGATGAGTACCTTCTCATGGGCAGCAGTCAAAACCATTTAAAGTAAGGTGCTCAGACATTTGCTCTCAAGGGTCACGCTACAAAATTCCAAATCCAGGCCATTCCTCCAGCATTACTCAACTATCTACTGCATAATGCAACAAAAAAAGGGGATATATAATGCAAATAAATTAAACTTCAAACAATCTCTTTGAATAAATTGAACTTCAAACAATTAGAAAAAGATAATGCAACAAAAAAAATGAGGAATATATAATGCACAAATAAATTAAACGTCAAACAATCTCTATGAATAAATTGAACTTCAGACAATTAGAAAAACATGTCATTCTCTAAAATGCAAATAAATCTGTGAATAAAAGAACAAAAAAAAAAGACATAATCACCAATAACGACAATCAGGAACCTTGTTGGTTAAGAGGGATAACAAAATGAGTGCAATACAGGAATGGTGGTCATCATCACAAGACAGGAGAGATGAAAAAAGAAGAAAACTAATTCTGAAAAGGAATATCTAGGATTTATATACAGCAACGTTCGAAACAAAGCAGTTTACAAATGGACATAAATCTCAACCACAAGAACTATATGCATCACAATTCCATAACGGATATTTACAATTACCAACATCAGGGAAAAGAAAAATCATGATATGAAGTTCCAAGTATTGTTATCAAGCATAGTAGCGTGTCTGATACAAGAATGTAAAGTTAAACAGGCTTAGGAGGAAAAATCAGCTCTAACAAAAGGAGAGAGCTCTAACTAATGGAGAAAGGTTGACTTCCCACCTCGTTTCCCCACCTTGAGGTTTTACCCTCAACAGGACTAAATATGTGGATCTGAGAAAAACTCAAAACAATATGATATTTAAATAAAAAACAGTAAATACCTCCTTAAAAAAGGGACAGAGAGATCAGTCTTGCATTTCAACAGAGATGAAGATATATCTCACAACTAAATGGTCAACGGATAAGTAATTTATAGTGATTTTACAAAGCAATGAAAAAAAGTACTCAGCAAAAGGTTTTTGTTGGTACACAAAAAGAAATTAAAAAAAGTTCACTATGACATTGATGCACGTTGAAGCATGCCAACCCCTCACCCAAATAGGAGAGAATATCCTCTCAATTTACTGTCTGGATGCATGCCTCAAAGTCTCAGTGCATGCAAGTGCTTCTCTTTCCTGAAAATAATTATGCTGAAATAGTTCTTCCATGATCACTACCAGTAAGCGCATTTTTGCAATAATTTCCAGAAAAAATGATTGTTTATGATAGTAAACATCACAGGTTCGACTCAGGATGTTATCCGTCAAAATCATTCAAAATTCTGCAGGACCTTATCCGTCCAAGTCATTCAAAACTGGACCAATGGACTAATAATTTAGACGCTGCAAGTCAGATACAAAGGTAATACATTAACTTTCACCTGAGATTAATTTATACAAACACTATAAACAGACTGATTAATTAACATCAAAACGTGGTCCTGCCTAGAAGGGCTCAGATCAGAACAATTATAGCAGCACTGAGTAAAAAATTGCAAATGCATGCTTAGGCATATTTGGGACATTGTAATTAATTAACTATCACAGCCATCCCCACTTCAGATCCTGAAACCAAAATATGAGTTGATTATACATCTATCACAACTAAAAAGAACCAAATTCTCCAAAACAAGTTTAAAATGCCAAATAACACTTAATACATGGTGATAATAGGTACTTACGAAAAAAATATAGACTCAGTTCAGAGATCAAAAGAAGACAACATATCATGTACATCTATGGCAAATTATTATGTATCAAATGATTAAAATTATACGTATATAAATGATTAAGTTTCAATAATTTCTTAAAAAAGGTTTCAATAAGCATTATAAATGCAAAATTTAAAACATTAGGACACCCATGCTGACAGCAAATTTGGAATCATATTCGCAATATGTTATCTTCCTGATCACGATAACGATGATGATGATGATAGTATAGTAGTTGTCTGTAGGCATTAATGTGAAAACATGACGCAGGGACATATCATTAAATTTTATTATATAAAAACTTCTAGGTCCAAAAACCTGAGAATAATATATATTACATGCAATACCTACAAAAAAAACATTAAAAGATTTGACAGCTATTTAATTCCAAGAGTGAGTCAAGTCTGAAAAGGAAACTTGTTTACATTACATGGTAAAAGGAAAATTACACAGACAAATTTAGGGGGTGTTTGGTTCAATTTCTACAAATTATAGGAAATGTTTTTCATCCAAAATATGATTTTCTTGTATTTCTTAAAAAAATTATATGAAAAGTTTTGAGAAGTCAAAAAGTACCAATTTTCTTATTTTTTTACTTTGCTTGTTTGGCTCAAAACAACAAAATGACCCATAACTTTATAGAAAATAGCAAGATTTCCTATAATTTATAAAAATTGAACCAAACACCCCGTAAATTTATAGAAAAGTATCAACTTTATATAAAAGTGTCAATGTGGTGTCAGATATCTAGGTCATTTCCGTCCATTTTGAGAGGAAATTGATTTCTGTAAATTTTGGTACTTTTTTGTACTTTACAAAAAAAATTCTATAAATTCTTTTTGAACCAAACACAGTTTACAGAAATCTACAGAAAATTTTAAATTACAGAATTGTCATTGTCAGACATTTTGAAAAAACTTTTCTATAAAATTGTGCAACCAAACACCCCTAACCTAACAATGTGTTTAAGTGTGGGAAAGAGAATTTGACAACTAATTTGTTTGGGATCTCTTTTTAATTTTTCATGAGAGGGGTAACGGAAGGGAGAGAAGGGAAATTTTATACAAGAATCTTATCCACCCACCCACCCACCCCACCCCCAAAAAAAACCTCGCTTCCCAACAACAGAAACAACAAAAATATTTATAGTGTAAAGGAGGGAAATGGGAAATGGAGGAGAATTAATCATAAAAGATGTTTGACAGTCTATGATTAACAGTTGAGATTTAGTTATGACCTCTCCCTTCCATTCTCTTAGTTAGGGCACATAATCATGATAAAACAAGTTTCTCACCATTCCCTTCACCATCACAAACAAGATATTATATTTTCTCTCACATTTTCTGCCTTCACTTTCCCTATTTAATCTTTCCTTTTCTTTTCTTAGTAAATCCCAAACACAGTGTGAGTAAACACTAAACGAGAATTAATGAGGTAGATATCCTTCAAATATCATTAAGCTTATTACTATAAGTAAACAAACAAAGAAAAGAGTCATAAGGACTGTAAAAAAAGATATGTTAAATAGAAAAATAAATGAAATGAATCGCATTAAATATTGAATTCAATTAGAAAAAAAAACTTGAGACTTATTTTACTCGCAAAAAGAAAAGAAACTACTAAAAAAGACTAGAAAAATGCCTTAAGGACCCATAATATGGGACCAAGTGAGGGGACAGATGAGGTATCCCCTCGTTATTGCATAATGAGATGGTTATGTCAGCTCATTATGCAATAAGAGGAAGACATCTCACATGTCCGCTCCAATGTTCCCATATTTTGGATCCGCGTAGCAACGCTCAAAAGACTAAACAAAGAGAGAGATAAAAGGCGCCAGTGTCGAGAACAGACAAATTTCAAGATCAAAACAAAAAAAGGGGCCACTTTAACAGGGTACGGGCCCAGTAACCTCACTGCCATTGATGAAATGAATAATATGATAATGATGATGGTAATGATAATGATGATGAAATTTTTTTTCTCATTTCAATTACTGTTCACAAACTAATATATATATCCCTATAAATATATATCTATATACATATAATATATTCATATAGGAGAGTAAACTTGTGTCAACTTAAAGTGGAGCGTCCCACTAAGTTTCTTAGCCTATGATTGATCACTGATTGAGCATTTTGTGATGATCTCCCGTCCGTTAAATTCTTGATACATATTAAAATCTCTAATTATCATCATGAAAATTTGGGGTTGACCGAGTCATTCGTTTTGAACCCGAATCATGTTCGAACTTTCGACTATAGAATTTTAACGGTTTCAAATGAATTAGAACTTTTTTACATAGTGCTCGACGCCCAGGAGAGGATAATTCAGATACCACTAGAGACAGGCTTCCAACACAAAGTTTCGGTGTGAGATTGTGAGTGATTCATACAGGAAGTAAGCACTACAACAGACAAGTGATAATAACTCATGGCTAAGAACTCTAGTGGAAGAGTTATCCGACGATGAAAGTCGAAACACGGTTATTAACCTAATACTACTATATAACTTAATATGATATTAATATATAATATATATAATATATTATAAGATATAATACATTATATTCCAAATACAAAGGAAACCAGTAGGCAATCAGTTTTACCTCTACTATATATATATATACTATATATTATATATATCATCATAAATATTATATACTATATTATTCTATATATATCATCACACAAAAGAACAGTACGGCGTCGTTCGATTCTCATGTTGTACTAAGTTTGGGGATAGTTCCTGCATTACTTAGGGAAAGGATGGTTATTGACTTTGTTAGTTATCCGTATCGGTACGATAACAGCGACGCACATGGATGAGTGGATCTTAGATTCGATTGTTCTTGGTCATAGTTGTCCTACCTTACATATCGGGATCGAAAGTCGTTAGCCTTCGTTATTTCGCATCTTCTTGTCTAGCTCCATCCGGTTCACATCCAACCAGCTTATGGAGTTTAAGCCAAAGATTGATGGTAATGAGGCTTGTTCCGCTCATTTGATTAGGTATGCGGGGTGAAAAAAGTAGATCGAGTCACTGAACATTACATCACTTATTGAGTATGCCTGGTTAGGATTTGCATATGATTCGGACAGTGATAGCGGCATTAAGATGCACCGATCGGCCGTCATTAGGACTCTTGACAAATCATTAGGTAGTGTTCCATTTAAGGAGACAATCCCTCACTCCCTCGTTAGGCCCCCACGCCATTTTTGCTCGTCTCCGGTGCAATTTGTTCAGGTGACGGTGAGTTTCAGGTTACACAAGGCTCTTATCTGGTTTGAAGGAAAGAAGATCCGCAGCGCGTTGTATGTTTTGTGGATCTCTACCATAACGCCCGATTAGTACGTGCGACCCTACTATATGAAATTCAGAGCTCGATACTTAACCATACTCTTACTTCTTCATTCCAGATTATGGCAATACCCGACGACTTGTTCATCCGATGAAAAAAAAAGTGATGCATTGGTCGAATTGAGCCGCAAGAATGACTCTTATTGACCAAATACAACACGACACCTGGCAATATTACTCTTCTGAAAGCATTGTATTTTGGAAAAATATGATACTCAGAACATAGAGTTTCAGTCTAAATCACGATTACCGATAGTGCATTTGCCCAACTAAAGTACTTCTGAATTATCATCTGACAATTCTACTCAGATACTCTGAGGACCTCTCCCTAATAAAACCCTGAACCTCCAAGTTGCACTCGAGGGTGGTAGCTCAAGAAGTGCATTCAAATGATATTTGTTTTCCGAAAATCCATTCATCCCCACTCTTTTCCCTAGCCAATTCCTCCAAAAATGAAATCCTTAATGGGATAGAATTTCAGACCAACATCTTGACCCATGAAGCCGTGAAATTGCTCCAAGGATTCCTACCCGGACACTCAATGCCGAGAGTACAGCGATAAAGGGGAACTGCGACGGGGCAAAGAACACCGTATGAATTACTGTTCTTCGGTTGGGAGGATGATCACGAAAGGCTCCATCCGACTTACCAAAAACCTAAGTGATGACTACCTACGATGGGCTCATTTTTTGAGATATAAATATGAGCGCTTCCGTGACTTTCACGCAGTGAAGTTTGATTGAGAAGCACCAGACTGGGCAGGCCTGATTAAGCAGGCTTAACCTGATAACTCTCAATATACTTCGAGTCTGAATTTTGTGAGAAGTAAAGATGGAATTTAATGCAATTCTACCAGAGGAGGAATCATGGTCAGATCCACCTCTTCCAGGCTTAAACTGGACAAGGGCTGAGCCTGGCGGAAGAGCACGATCCCGTAACCAGCCCGGGCTTCTTCTGAAAAGGTATGCTTTACCCTTTCTGAGCAGTGGCATGCGGCCAGCGATTGAAGACAAAAACTGATTGCCGAGTAAACAGATATAATTTGGTTCAGGGCATGGTAGTTTACAGAGGGTTGCACCAGAAGTAGAAGAGAACCTAAACGCCTGTCCTGATTCATTGGCAGAAACCAAAGCCTCGTTGTATTGTTTCCTGTTATCGATCAACCTCTGAAGTTCGACACGGAAAACACGAAAAGATGGCCCAAACTATACTTCTAGGTAGAAGCGTGAATAGGCTCTGTTACTCCATATTATTATGAGTCAGAGAATGGGTGGCAGATAGCCATTGACTTTATAATCATTCGTCATCCCTACTCCTATTCAGCTGTAAACACTCAAAGGGTTTAGTCCAGTAAGCCTATCGACTATTCTACCATCCTCAACTTCTGGTTGCCCCCCCTGGAATCACAGTTACTCAAGGAAACTTGAGACGCGCGAGCGACAGAAGCTGCATATTCTCCAGGTTATTTCGGAGTGTTAAGGGTTTTAGGCCACCTTTGTGGTGGCAAATCCGAAGCTCCTTAAGATTATATCATCAAACCATACTTACTTAACGATATCTAACTTTGCCATGATCACCGCTATCTGTTCCACTATGACCTAAAAGAATAGTCTATCTCTTTCTAATTTTAATTCTTAGTTGATGAAAAACGGCCAGTCACTTATGGAACGACATCATGGTCGAGGTTTAGAAATTCGTGATTTAGCCTAATTCTACAGAGCCAAGTATATAAGATTAATACGATTGCACTATAGGCTAATTAATTGATCATTTTTAAAATTCCTCTCTTTTTAACAATTCTCATAATTCAT